GGAATCCTTGATATACCTCAACAGGCAGGATGAGATGAATTGGAATAAATCTTTCCTTTAGGAAGACACGACCCTTGAGGAAAAAATGAACTCTAAAATCATGAATGTGTGACTGGAGATTGCTCCTTGCAGAGAGAAGCATGAGATGCTGCCAGGTGAAAGTCAATTCTCTAGATTTGTCAATACATAGAAAAATTAGATTTCTCGTGTGATGAGCTGACAAGCCCCAAAGATAAGAGGATACATTACTGAGGCAAGTCTCTTCTCATCCTACAACCAGGATTTGATTTAAATAGGATTTAATAAATCCTATAAACCTGAATCTATCACATCCAAAAGTATTAAATTCATAAAAAAAAAAACATTTAATTCAATTAAGATTAAATTATTTATTGTTTCTACAATTATAGAAATAGTTAACATAAAAAATATATCTATTTTATTTACATTACTCAGCTAATATTTGCTCTGCAAAACTTTCGGATCTAGGAGTCCAAAAAAATTACGTTACGTGGATGTGACAGAAAAATAAAAACAATTCTCTAGGAATACTCCCCCTCTTATTATTCCTCGTTATTCATGTGTTATTATTGAGGTATTCATCTATTACTGTGTTCTAGGAATATTTCCTGTATTATAATAACACAATAACACATCAATATCACCACAATAGCAGCTAAATAACGTGGAATAATATAAGAGGAATATTCCCCTGTGTTACCGAGCCAGATCACAAGAAAACGAGTATTTTTTTTCCCAATCAACCTCACATGGAAGTGATTCATCTGTAGACGGTAAACAACGGCAAAACTTACGACAAATCTCTTTAGTCTCCTGCGGACATGAAGGCCTCAAAAAAATCATATTTTTTATAAAAAAAAAAGTGCATGAAATCCATCCAGATTTTATAATCATAGTTTCATCCAATCAAAGACCTGAAGAGGTCCGGCCATAATTATAATTTAAAAATAAATTTATTTTATTTACCTGACGGCTAACATTATATTTCCTTCGACAGCTTCGATGCTAATTGCTAAAGACACCCGGCCATAATTATAATTTAAAAATTAATTTATTTTATTTACATGACTCGGCTAATATTGTAGTTTCATGCACACATCCTATACCAAAAGACAACCATAATTATAGTTTTAAAATAAAGCTATTTTATTTACGTGATTCAGGCTAGCATTGTAGTTTCATTCACACATCCTATACCTAAAGAAGCCCGGCCATAATTATGGTTTAAAAACAATAACATTAGACTTTGTAAACAATATCAAGGCAAAGGACTAATCTCCATATCTCCACTTGACAAATAAAAGAAAAATTATATTCTTATGAGAAAATAAGAGCACCAAATTCATCCAAATTTTATAACTGAGGTGTGTCGGAATGTCTATGATGGTAGAGTAATAAATTAGCATCTTCATGTTGAACGAAAACCCAATACACACTTAGATAATTAAAGAGAAATGAGTAGGATGAGACACCTCAATTTCGTGGAATATTATAAATGGTGGTCGTATTTTACTAACTACGGTTCAAATGTAATAATTCACTATGAATAGTGAGTATACATGTTCCCTCTTCATCTAAATTTTGGAAGATGAAGTTATAAAGGTGATCATTATAAATGTACAATAGTAGTTCATCAAGAATAATCGTAACATGAGTGTAATGAATATAATTCTCGATGATAGTAGGCTACAAGGGATGTAGTCGGTTGCTATGGAGCAAGTAGCCCGTTGTGAATATTATAAACGGTGGTTGTAATGCCAGGTATTCTTATGGCTTATAGTTGAATATCATGGTGGGAATTGATTATGTGGGTTGCAGATGATTGTTTTAGGAATTTCGGCTGACCACAAAGGTCGTAGTAGAAGTTGCACAAGCTGTGAGCAAATTTTATAACTTTTTTTTCTCTAATTCAGAAGAAGAGTACACCGGTGTACTTAACATTCCTTGTGGATTATTTCAACTGGGCCATGCCCTATGATTTTTTCCCCTTCCTAGTTTAAAAAATTGAAGTGTCTCCTCTAATTTCTACTCAGTGTGTATAGGATTTTTGTGTAACTCTAAGATGATAATTCATTACTCACCGCTATAGACCTTCTAATTCACAACAAATTTATTTATGCTTAAATTAACAACATTATTTTTTATCTTAAAGCTTAGATGTTAGAAATGTAAATGCATAAATATTTTCTGTTATTTATATAAATTTCAACCATATATAGATATATATGTATATATATATATATATATTCACAGAAGGAGAAAGTACAGGTTGCAACAGAAAGTGTTGAGGTGGAAGAACATAAAGCTGACGCAGATGATCCACCAAATGCCGGAATACAAATAATGAGGTTGATGTAGGATCAAAAGTGTAGAGCAAAATACTTATAACGCGAATCTAATGAAAAACCACAGCAGTTTTTAGTGTTAGCTTTAACGGAAAATGGAAATGATTTCCATGATACTGTAATTCTCTCCCATGGAACCACTCTGCGCAAGAACTCATTTTTAAAATGCTGCCACCTTGGTAAAAAATGAGACTCCTTTTCTTTGTTAGTGATAGACAGCTTCTCTGCGTTGAACCATTCCTGCTTGTTCTTGTTCCCCAGGCTATAAAATCTATATGTTTTGTATGCTAAATTATATTGTTATACCTGTAATGTGTTTAACCATGGATGCCAACATAAATTATGTAATTATTTCACATATATAATTTATGTTGGCACCCATGTTTATGCACGAAAATTATGTAGGAAAATTATGTTGGCATCCATGTTTACGCAGGAAAATTATGTATAATTATATATATATAATTTATGTTGGCATTCATGTTTATGCAGGAAAATTATGTTTGAGGGCGCACTAAGCCCTATGAACCCTTTTCCCTCAAAAAGTCAAATTCAATCCAAGTATTTTTAAGATTTTTATCAATTGAATTAATAAGCACCGAAAGGCGTGATGAACTAAATTTAATTTTTAGGGAATTTATACTTGACATATAATTTCTATTTATTTATAACAATTGAAATTTAATTTTATATTTATAATATTTAAAATTTTTTATATCTTAGAAATATTATTGTCATTAAATTTATATAAAAAATTATTTTTTCAAATAAAGATACGAGTTATATTTAAAATTTTAAATTTCAATGTTAGAGGTATAACTATACTCAAATTTGCATCATGTCGTATTAAATCAGACCACGCATCACGGCCAGCGCTTCAAGCAACCCAATTTCAGTAAACAAAAAATCTGGCCCACTGGAACACACAAAATTGAAATTAAGGAAGTTTGATAAACAAAATTTTAATTCAAACACACATACAAACATACATACATACACACACACACATTTTGTAAATTA